GTTATTTGCAAGGTTAAAGTTTTTTGCGGACAAACAGACAGAGAGACAGAGAGACAGCTATACAGACAGACAGACAGACGGACACGACAAAAACTATATGCCCCCGAAACTTCGTTTACGGGGGCATAATTATGGGATCAGGTGCTATAGGAGTGTAAGGATCTTTATCCATGGTCACACTCGCCGTTTGTTCCTTGTCGAGATCGGGAAAATTATCAAATTGCTTAAGCAATTCATTTAAAAATAAATTATCTTAAATTCTATAAAAGACGTTTATAAACATTCAACTTAGCGCCAGACTTTACTTTAATTGCAAAAATGTCATCTTTTTCGACTGAATGACAGATTTTATTTGCAATCAATGCCATCGTGTTTACCATATATTTACGAAATTTTGCAACAATCAATGTGATTAATATGTTTGTATCAGCAACTTATTTGTAATAAGCATGTCTCGTATTAGATCCAGCTTCATGCTCTCTTACATGGGATATTATAAAAAAAAATGACGGTGTTTTTTTTGTCTAACATTTTTTTAAAATCTTGCTACAATTGGCCATATCAGTAATAGTTATATTTCTTAAAAAAATATTAAATATAAATTTTAATCTAATTAATTTTCACAAAAAGAACAAAATGGAAAAGAACTTTAAAATAGATTTAATAATTATCTTTCAGAGACCTGGGTTAAATACAGAAAAATTAAAATTATTTATTTGTGTTGGTTCATACATTTCGTAATTTGAGGTATAAGTAATTCTTCGTGGGGCTTTTCTTTCGTGGTTAAAGAAGTCTTGAATTAAAACTTATAAGATACAGATATGGATGTTTTACAGAATTAAAATAACGAGAATACGTGTTTTCACAGAAGATGTTTGTACTCAGAATGATTAGGGGTCAAGGCCAGATACCTTGAATTTATTGTAGAACTACTATTACAATCTATTAGAATCTGTATGAACGATTTTAATGTAGAATATAACACATGATATGGAGGGTAAGAAATGATCATGTTTTAAATCATACTTTAATAAATTCCAAGATATTGTAACGTCTCATTATAAATAAATAATTAAATAATAATTTCACCGAGAGTAAGAGTTTAGATTAATACCTCAAATGTCTTTGATCATTGCACCTTTAGATTTGTGTAACCACCAATGTAAAAACCTGCATTATAATTTTCTTTCCTGGTGTAACAGCCTGTGAAGTAGGTACATATGGTGTTAACTGTTCTGGAGGACCATGTAAGTATGGCTACTATGGATTTGGATGTCGGCGTAAATGTAGCTGTACCACTATCCAATACTGTGACAGAAGAACAGGTTGCGAAAACAATGCTACACATGGATTCTGTAAGTTACACGTACATGTATTAACACGAGTGTTGGTATCTCATTCAATAATGTAATTATTTATGCTGATAGGTTAGAGGTTGATACATTCAAACCCCCTCACACATATGAATTATCGTCGCGCTACCCTACACCACACGGTCATTCAAAATGGAAGTGAGATATAGTTAATTGGACATTAGTTTTATTAGAGAATCATTACTGAGTGAAATGTGTTCATAGAATTCATTTTTCATAATGTTTGCATTAATGGTCATATCCTTAAAAAAAATTACTATAGTAATTGATAGTTTACTATAGTTATTTATAGTAAATAAAATTTTTAATACAGTAAATCAAAGTAATTTTTACTTTGAATTTTAGATCGATATATATTTTTTTTAAATTCCAGCAAGTATTTTATTTCGAAATAATACTATGAAAAGAGTATTAGGTTTTTTTTCACAGCTGAAACGGATGAGACATATACTAATCCCTTTGTGGAAAAAATGTTATTTGTAATTCTTGGTGTTTCCCTGGGTGTAGGATTCACCTTGACAATTATCTTCAGCTGTAAAAGGTATTTTACACTCAACCTATTACTTCTCTATTTGATTAATGATACTAGAACCTTATTTTTAAGGAACATACATGTATATGAATCTTTAATGTTTCTCAATATTTTATGTATGTTGATATCAGTCAACATTTGCTTTTAGGTATTTCTCGCAAAGCGATCAGAATTATGTGTATGTAATGCACACATGGCATGTATATGTTCACTGGACACAATTGTTTTATTCAACAAAAAACTCAGTGTCTTTCATTATTTTTTTTTATCAGAATAAAACTAAGGAGACAGTCAGGGTACATCGATACTATGTTTCTACAACATGGATATGATTATCCGTTACGAAAAAGAGGGGCAGAATTAGATGTCACATATGAAGGTAATGGCACAGTTCCAAACATCGAAGACAGCAGAAAAAGTCCAGAATTCCAGAAGCAGGAAAATGAATATTTGGAAATGGTGTAAAAAATATTAAATTACAACTTTTTAAGTCCCTTTCATTTGTAATGTGTAATCCTAATTTTAAATCATTGATAAATAAAGACAAAATACATACTTTTAATGGATGCCGTGAGAGCATAGAAATTCATGATAATACTGTAAATATTTGTTAGCATACTTATCTTTGTCATATCTTTGCCAAAATAATTTCGAATTGGTTCATTTTTTAACAAATATAACTAATAGCAGTCCCTATTTTAATAATACATGTATGTAGATAATATACAGAGAACAATACATAAGAAATATATTTGTGTTGGATTCTAATAAAAATTTGTTAAACAAATTATATTTTTTCTAATTAATATTTTTCTTTCATTTCTAATAAGCAATAAACATCTTAACTAATAAGATGAGTTTTGAACTAACTGTGTGAAAGATATTTATATACACGTTTGGCTTACCATAAAGCCTAATTTGCCTTTTTATGCCCACGTAAACGAAGTTTCGGGGGTATAAAGTTTTTGTCGTGTCCGTCTGTCTGTCTGTCCCTCTGTCTCTCTGTTTGTCCGCAAAACTTTAACCTTGCCCATAACTTTTGATTTAGTGGAGCTATGACTTTCATATTTTATTCATTGTGACAAGACCTTTCTTTGGGTACCACCAAATTTGACCTTTTGACCTTGACCTTGGAGTTTGACCCACTTTTACATGAAAATTTTTAACTTTTACTTAGGCCATATCTTTTGAACAGTAGATACCAGGACATTTAAACTTCACATATATAATGTTTGTTGAAAAACCTTTCATTGGATAACAACAACCTTCACCCTTTGACCTTGACTTGTAGATTTCCGTAATTGTGAAAAAACTTTAATCTTGGCCATAACTTTTGAACGGTAAGTGATATGGCCTTCATACTTCATATATGTAATCCTTGTGAAAAGACCCTCTATTGGATATCAAGAACTTGACCCTTTGACCTTGACCTCTGAGATTGACCTACTTTAAAAAATCAAACCTTGACCGTAACTTGTATAGAGTTAGAACTAGTGCTTTCATTCTTTATATATTTGATTCTTATAACAAGACATTCCATTTGATAACAAGAACTTTGACACTTTGACCTTGAAGTTTGACCTTCTTTTTAAAAAAATGAACGTTGGCCTTAACTTCTGAATGGTTAGGGCTAGGGCTTTCATGCTCTACATGAGTATTCTATGTTGCAAGACCTTTCATTTGATACTAATTACATTGACCTATTGACCTTGACCTTGGAGAATTTTGTACTTATTAAAAAAACTTTAACATTAGCTTACTTTCAAATTTCACAATTGTCTTCAAGTGAGAATACCCTACTTTTGGTACCAATTAATTAAATGTGCATTTAAGAAAAGCTTAATCTTTGCTATGTTGCCATACGGGGGCATCAGTGTTTCACAAACACATCTTGTTTTTTTTTTGTTTTAATCACAGAAAAAAAATCTTAGAAATGGATTTCCCCCCCAGATTCGTACTTTAGCGAAAAGTTTAATTAAAATTTGAAATAGGATTTCTGAAACAATTTCAAGAGCTTATAACCAGTTTTTCTGCTAGAAAACATCTATACTGTATTTTAAAATCCAGTATATGTACATGTTATAACGATGCATTTTTTCTGACAGCCACAAAGAAGTTTGAAAACGTAAAAAGTTCAATAGTAATTACTTTCCAAAGCTGTTTTTAATTTAATCACCTAAAAAGACTTTGCAATTAAGAGGCTTGTATGTGTTATAAAGCCAGATAAGACTATGCTGCTAATTTGATCGTTTAAGCGACATATACAACGAAGTAAGTTATTGACAAACAAATTGATTTAAAAAACAAGATTATCAGCAGTCTCGTTTAAAGTCATCATTTGGTAAGTTATATGATCAATACAATGAATTTGTCAGCAAATACAATTTATCTCTGAATCAAATGCTTACTGACGTTTTCATACTACAGTATTGTTTGTCCATCATTTGTACACTGAATTGAGGACGGATTTTTCCGTTATTTCCCGATCATGACAAGGCGCACACGGCGGGTGTGACCATTCGGCAGGAGATGCTCACTTCTCCATGGCACCTGGTCCCACCTTTAAATTTAATGTTTTCGAGGTCCGTGTTTGCTCTGCTCTTATTTTGTATTGTTTTATATACTTTTGATCTTGAATACTGTTCGTATTTCCATATGTTTAAGCATGTTTAAGACAAGCATGTAACTATTATTCATCACGATCACGGACTTACCTTTAAATCTTTAATCTTTGTATATCATCACTTAGTACAGTTATGTTAGTTTGAGATTTGTTGTAAAATGAGCTTTCTATATATATTTTAACAAATAACAAACACCAATTTCTTGTTCCTGAATCTTTTTATATTTTTTTTCTTCACGATTAACCAGTTCATTATCTATTTTGTCAATTCCAAATTTGTTACTTTCAAAATAATTGTCCTAGGGAATAAATATTTTCAATGCATTGCGTGTCTTGCATCAGAAAAATACCTTTTTGCTTACTTTTCAAATTTTTCTTTCTTACTAGTATTTTGACTCTTCTGTATTTAGTTTATTGTATCATTCGAAGTCATTATTACTTCGTTTTCTGTGAAATAATTAAAGTCACTATTTCAGGACTCTACCGTATGACCGTTGGTGAAGGCACCAATTTGATCATAACTGCCTTCCTCGTCTGTGGCGTATACTCTGGAGACTTTGTTAATTTTTCCATTGAAAAGAAGCACGTTGTAGTTGTTTGTGGCCTTTGTCATATGAGAGTAGTCTTCTTGCTCCGATTCCTGAGTTGCATTGTTAATAATCCGGTTTGTTCCAAATCCTGAATAAAATAATTTTTCTAATGGTATTTGAAGAATGTTTTGATAAAAAATTTACAAAAGTTTCCATAATCACACCTCGCCAAAGATCTTTATCAATTTTATTGTTTAGAAAATTTTCCTTAGAATTTTTATAATTTTTGTTCAGTGTGTGTTTGCAATAAAGTACTCACTTCTTAAATACTGGTGAAGAAACTTTAATCTGTAAGTATGATAAGCCACGTTTAGAGCAAAGAAAGGTTTTAGTTTTATGCAAGAAGGTCTATAACGAAATTAAAATTCACAAGGTACAAAGACCAGTTTACAAGGTTTTAAATAATATAAAACTTGGGAGTCAATGATAATTTGATATATAATTGTAAATGCATAGGCTTAAATCACAGATCTTCTGCTTTAGGTCTATTGTATATGTTAAGGTGTAAGCACACTCACCTCTCATTGTAAAAGAAAACAATGATGGCTAGAATTGACCCGACACTGAGAATTACTCCCATTATAACAGCAACAACTGTACTAATGTATGACCGTTCATTCAATCCAGTTCTTCCTGAATCGAATAATAAAACAAAATATATTCAAACATAATCAGATTTTTAACAAAATTGTCTTATATACCTGCAGTTCGTTTAAATTAATTTAAAAAGTATGTATGGTACCAACTTAAGCTACTCGTACACCATTATAACTTAAACGTGATGAACATTAAAAAAAAAAACAACAACCAAAAAACGTGAAAAATAGTAAAGCAAAACAAGAACCAAATTTAAAATAACAGAATGACAAAAAGAAAAAGACCTCAAGACATAGTCAGGGATAGAAACAAAGCACAGTTATAGCCACGTAATATACAAGTGTCAGCAAAGATGTTTCATGTAAAAGGATCACGAACATAAAAATAAAGAAAATAGTATCAACGTTAAAGGATAGCTGATACTTGCTTAATGGCTACAGAATATTTATCTCAAATGGTTAGTAATATTATGAGAAAAACAACTAGCTGTTTTGCAAAAATAGAAGTCATTGATCTTGTTGCAATATATTTCATTTTGCTGTATATATAATATTTGATTTGAAAGCCTATAGTGCTTGTTTTGTTTATATTCTTTAATTGATAAGTGGACACTTGAGAAATATCTACCTGACGCAATTTGAAGATACTTTAAATGAAGTATAATTTTGAAAAATCGCCTAATTTATACTTTGATAAATGCCTTTCATGAAAATGTCTCAATTTGCTCTCACAAACTGTCCAACAGAGTTGTTTCACGGAAATAAGTTTGTGTATCATTTAAGTGAACTAGTCTTCAACAGGGTTTTTTAATGAGTAAAATAATAATAAATATTTAAAATATATATATAAAATAATAAATATTTCAAACATTTCCTTTTCATACCTGTATATCAAAATAGACTTACATGACATTTACAGTATAAATTTTCTACCAATTAATATTCAAGCAGAAGGGAAAATACATCAAGTTTCGATAAACATGCCTGATTTTGCATTTATATCAACAGCAAACATTATTGCACTTACATATCAAAACACTTTAGATATAAGTAGTGTATTTTTAAAAATATGTTTTTTACCCTTGCTTGTATCATTAACACACCAAATCTTCCTGTCACAGTACTGTTCAGAAGTACATTTACATTTACTCAGACATCCAAATCCATAGAATCCTTTGACACATGGTCCTCCTGTACAGTTATCTCCATATGTTCCTATTTCACAGGCTGTTACATTCAAAAAGTACAAAAAGTATATAAAAGATGTTTAAAATCACTCAGTAGTCTACTTCATTTCCCTGATAATAGCATGTCTTATTTTGTATTTATATACCGGGTATTTTTTGTAAAGTGGGATAGGATTGCAGTTTGTGTATATAACGTTTGATTAAAACAAAAAAATATATTGGAAAAGTAAAATGAAAACACAAGCATTTCAATAATGCTGTACACATAATCTTCAGTCAAGGACCAAGAACAATCCAACGGATGCTTTGCTACAACGGAAAATGTAACAACATTGTCAACTATAGTAAATTGTAATTATTATTATAATTATATTAACGGTGTAGGGCAGCGTTGTGAGAATTCCATCGGCATCGAAAACAAGTTTTTTAACTTGCCTAGATAGCCGAGCGGTCTATCGCGCTGTTCCTGGACTGCTAGGAGACAGATTCCGTAGATCGAGAGAGTTCAACCCCGGGCTGGGGCGGAAGTGAGTATCCTTGTAAAAGTGAATTTCTTTGTGCTTTCTATATTAATATTCCTTCACTTATGGCAGTTATATTAGTTTAAGAGTTGTTGTAATTTGTGCTTTATAAATAAAATTAATTTTATCACAACATGTATTGGTAACGATCCTCTAAAAACTAATGTCCAAATAACTGTATCTCACTTCCATTCTCAATGACCGTGTAGTGTAGGACAGCGTTGAGAGAATTCCATCGGCATCGAAAGCAAGTTACATTTACTTTTTAACTTGCCCAGATAGCCGAGCGGTCTAACGCGCTGTTCCTGCACTGCTAGGAGACAGATTCCGTAGGTCGAGAGTTCAACCCCGGGCTGGGGCGGAAGTGAGTATCCTTGTAAAAGTGAATTTCTTTGTGCTTTCTATATTGATATTCCTTCACTTAGGGCAGTTATATTAGTTTAAGAGTTGTTGTTATTTGTGCTTTATATATCTATATCTATATATATATATATATATATATATATATATATATATACATGTAAAACAAAATGAATGTAGTAATCCTGAAAGTCCGTAATTACATTTTTTGTTATTTTATTTTGCGTTGATCTCAACTCAAAATATTCCCATTTTATTCGATTTCTTGCGGTGTGATGACAATTTGCAATGTTACAGTGAGGCATATGAACAATGTTTTTGTAATTGTGTGGCCCATATATATGCAATGAAAATCTAAATTATTCTGAACATATATGTTAAGTAATTGATTAAGATGAAAGAGTACTCACAAAAGACACTCTAGAGAGGCTGAACGTTACATTTATTTTCATTTTTAATAATCACAATGTCAAACATCAATTGAGTAACAGGTATCACATATTTAGTCAGAAATACATCTATTCATTTCAAGAGAAAATGTAATTTATAAATTAGATTGGCTATAACTTATAAAACAGCTTACAGATCACAATAACATTTATCAATGATAATTAGTGTGCTAATTTTTCTTTCTATGAATATAATTAATTCAGTAAAATCAAGGAAATCAAGTCGTATAAGGAAGTCCTTAACGATTTGAATGAAAATCACATGCAAGTAAACACTACTATTAATACTGATTTAATTACATGGAAATAGGTTCGTACCGCCGAATATATCAAGATTTAAACAAAACATCAACTTACGTACGCAGAAGTCGCCAAATTGTCGATAATTTGTACAACATTGTAGAGTTTCTCTATAGTTAGACGTTATGATTTAATAATAATTAAAGTAATTATTTTTTACTTTCGCTTAAAGTACTAAATTAGATGACTTGAATCTAACTTTTTGTAAAATTTACATACTCGATTTTCTTGCAAACACCAAGTCCTACGGAGAGACAGCTTATCAGTTGAACCAAAAATAACAGTAAAGCCAATACCCAACGCGGTTGGTCTCGTTTCATGGTAATTCGGGTCTTGAATTATAGTAATATCTATATGCATACAAGTGTATATGAATAACAATAGTAAATAGCTATTTCCTTCCGATATCTCTTACAATAAGGAAATTATTTTAATAAATGATAGTCTAAAAATTTCAGTTATGCTTTACTTTTTTCTCACAGCTAGTATCTCATTACTCGTTAATCAAAAATTGATCACGCCGCGCCAAATCTTGGACACTCTTTAATATAGATTTGAAGTATCCATTCTGTTTATTGTAATTTGTTGTGTCATGCGTGACATTATTGCGCAATATAAAACTTCAGATATAAAGATGGGTAGTACTACATTTTTGTCTATATTACATAAGTTGTCTAATTTCGTTTTATATTCTCGATTATACCATGTATTGACTTAAATTGTTTTGTCATGAACTTATTTTTAAAAAAATGATTCAGATACTTTTCTTTCTTTTTTTTTCATTGGCGTCAGAAAAGGGCACCACATATCAGGTATCAATAATGGAAAATTCAATTAATTATTCACATATGGCCATTTATATCAGATAGATTGATAAAATGCAATCAAAAGTTTAAAGGAAAAAGAATATAAAATATAAAAAGATAAGAGAAGCTCTAAATACTGCACACTAAAGAACTCTACTAATAGGGTAGTTTTATGCAGTTAGAGTGATCTGCCCAAGAATAAGTAATTGAATTCATTATTTTCATAAATTTTCCCAACGTAGGTAAACAGCAGTGATTTCTGCTCATAGATAGTCCATTGTCTTTGAACATTCTTCCTGCAGAGATACAGCAGGTACCCTATATTACAAATGAATGAAGACTCAATATGCACACCTTTATATAATATATTTTTCTTCAAGTCCAAAAAGAAGTTTCTGTTAGTGTTAAGAGCTTCCTTAAAAGTTATTTAGTAAAATTAATAAGAAAAGAGAAAAGAAGGCATAACCATTTAATAAAAGAATAGCTCCCTGATTATAGAAATGGATAGTTTTATCTTAAAGTTATAAATTTTATTTAATAGTGATGATGTTATTATTTTTAATTTCTGTGTGCTAATTTGACTTAATTCTCAGCTATAAATGTTTTAATTGCCTGTATGAAAAAATCTGCAAGGAACATGAAGACGATTAAAGCCATATATGGCGTAACTGATCAAAAAATATAATTTTAAAAGATACAAAATTAAGTAAAGAAATATAGTTAATACATTTAAATTAAAACTTTTCATACAATTCTGAACACGGAGAACACCTCGTTTCAACTAATAATACGATTTTATCTTCTCTGTAATGTGTTATTTAAATCTTTTGTATTTTCTTCCGAGTCGGAGAAAATTCCGAGAATCCAAATTTAATTGTGATATCTTTATAACGCAATTGACTTAGATTTTGTAAATTACGGAAAAGTTCTATCTTTATATAAAGTAATGATACAAATAATAAGTTCTTATAATTTTAGTCTTAATAATTTTCATTGTACATACGCCATATATGGCTTTAATTAACGTGAACAAAAGAAGATGAAGTGGACAATGCCCGTTAAAAGCAGCTTTATCATAAAGTTTTAATGACAGATGATACAAACTTTTGTCAAAAATTCTGAAAATAAAAACTTGGGTGATATTTTAAAAAATAAAATGTTTCATTGCGTAGTTTTCATTTTGTCTATTCAACGTTGCACAAAAATGGAATTTGAAGTGAAAAAATATTTGTATAGAATAATAAGGATGGTTTCAGAAGTATAGAATTTTGAATATCACAGAAGGTTTACAATTTCTTTATATTCTAGAAATTTATTATTTGCAACGTTTGCAATTAGATTAGGTCAAAAAAATCTACCAATCCAGGAATCAATTTTTTGTTTGTATCATCTGTCCTTAACGTTTTTTAGGTCATTTTTGACGTTTTTCGGTTTAAGAAAATAAGTTTAATTGTAAAATGTCGGAATAATTTTTGGCAAACGTGCATTTAAGATTGCCAGAAACGAAAACGTTAAACATATTTTTTTTTTTTGAAATTGCAACAGAAAACTTTAGATTTTAACACAAATATCTAAAAATAAAAAAAGTCATTGATAATTTGTAATAATTTTGTGATGAAGATTTTCTGATAAAGGAATAATTTCTTAGAAACATAGTCATATGGAATACAACAAGTAGAAAAGAGATTAATGAAACGAAGAAATTTAATAACTAGAGTACTTGTATTTTGTACGGAAGCCCATTTAGACCTATAAAAATATTTTTGAAATTTGATATAACGAATTGTGGAATTTGTTATAACGAATTTAATTCATTATAACAACGATCTTTGAATTTGCACGATTTTAATCTGTTATAACAAATTTGTTGAATTCATTATAATGAATTCTTTAATTTTGCTAATACGAATTAAATTCGTTAAAACGAATTCAAAAAATTGTTTTAACAAATTAAATTTGTTTAAACAAGTTCTAAAGTTTGTTATAACAAATTAAATTCGTTTAAACAAATTCCAAAGTTTGTTATAACGAATTAAATTCGTTTAGTTAAATTTAAATAATAAGGACCTAGAGACAAATATATATATGAATTTGATATAACGATTTTTCGAATTCATTTTAACGAATTTAATTCGTTATAACAAATAATGGAATTCGTTTAAATGAATTCAATTCATTATAAGAAGTTTTAGAATCGGTTAAAACGAGTTTAATTCGTATTAGCAATTTTTTTTTTAATTTGTTATAACGAAATAAACGAATTATTTATAACAGATTAAATTCATTATCACGGATTCAAAGAAATTGTTATAAGGAATTCAATTCGTTATAACATATTTGACAATTCGTTATATCGGATTGAAAAACATTTTTCGATAGGTCCTAAATGGGCTTCCGTAATTTTTCTCGCATATAGTGTTCATGTAATATAAATCACAGAATCATTTTTTGTCTGGGAAATGTAAATGTTTCTCATGGTGTCATTAAGTGTTGATGTTCAAAGTTTAAACGCTAAGTAAAGTTATCCTTTTTAAAAAATTCCCTTTTTAGACAAGGAAGTATCATATGTATACAAGTCTACAATATTTTTAGCTCATTTATTTCATGCTATTTGCCAGTGTGTTAATACATATTGGAAAATTACCGGTATTGTTACTACAAATCTGTTTTAATGAGAAAATATCTTACAAATGTGATACTTATGCATGTTTATCTCAGAAAAGTGAAACTCAAACGAATGGTAACTTGAAATTAATTTTATTAAGTGTGGCGATATTAGGGCACGGCTGTTATTAGTAACTTGCTTTCAAATACAAAACAAACAAAATGGGCAATGGGCAGCCAGCAACGAGCATGCCCCAAATCAAATGCACAAACAACATTCAACATCAAATACAATCAAATAGTAAGGTCATGACCAAAGGTCAAAGTTCATATAGTGGTGGGTCAAAGTTTATACAACATCAAAGTTCAAAGTTCACATTTTATCGCAATCAAACAAGTTCAAAGTTCACAACAACATCCAAGTTCAAAGTTCACCATATATATCTAGAAAGCATTGACCCTGGGAGGTGCAGAGGTCAAAGCTTACAATATATTTATTACCAAATGCCGCTTATACGCCGTTTATACATCATTCACTGTTTAGGAAAGATTGGCCCTGGAAGTTCATCTGTCACTGTTTAGGAAACATTGGCCCTGGGAGGAGCAGTGGTCAAAGTTTGCGAAAATGTCATCTAGGTTGCTATCCAGGTACACTTCTTCCTTCATGTAACAGCCGTACCGTTTGGATTAACTGATCCTTATATAGGGCAGCTGCAATAGAAAGAAAAGCAAAGCACAAAAATCCATTCAAATAGGGGGTTGGGCGTGGAGGGTATTTTTCTAAATATCTAATTTTACAAAAAATTGTCCTTTAAAATTGCACCAACCTCATTCATTGATTCTTTGATTGAAAAGGGATTACCGGAAGTTGACTCAGGGGGAATAACTCTAATTGATTGTAGGGATTATAGGCGGATCTAAAGCTTGTATTATATATGGGAAATGAACACTTTCTTCGATAAAAGCCTCCAATTCCAATAGAATTGGATGTGGTATTATCTCAGAAAAGTGAAACTCAAACGAATGCTAACTTGAAATTTATTTTATTAAGTGTGGCGATATTAGGGCACGGCTGTTATTATTAACTTGCTTTTAAATACAAAACAAACAAAATGGGCAATGGGCAGCCAGCAACGAGCATGCCCCAAATCAAATGCACAAACAACATTCAACATCAAATACAATCAAATAGTAAGGTCATGACCAAAGGTCAAAGTTCATATAGTGGTGGGTCAAAGTTTATACAACATCAAAGTTCAAAGTTCACATTTTATCGCAATCAAACAAGTTCAAAGTTCACAACAACATCCAAGTTCAAAGTTCACCATATATATCTAGAAAGCATTGACCCTGGGAGGTGCAGAGGTCAAAGCTTACAATATATTTATTACCAAATGCCGCTTATACGCCACAAGTTCCCTGAGATGAGGATCAGAATGAAACTCATCCAGGGAACTCCGCCACCATAGTGGGGGTAGAGCGGCATATACGAACAGCCGTACCCAGGACCCTTGTTAATTAGGAAAGCAGGATTGACCATGCGCAACGATAGCCTCAAGTCCCCCCTGGAGAGAGTTTAGAAATATGTTATTTCCCAACGAGGACATGTGTACCCCGTCGTGTAAAAACAAGGCCGGATCAGGTTTAATGTCTGTATGGCGGATTATTGCGCCCCCAGATTGCAAGACAATTGCAGCTTTACCAGAATTAACCCGTTTGCGTGCATTTTCCATAGCTTTTAAATTTGCCGAATAGCGCCATTGAAGACGAGGAAGGATAAATGACCATATAATCCTAATGTTTCGAAAGTGATTCATTAAAAATAAAACCAACTGCTTTGCCACAACCCTTATTTTTCTGATCGATACATTGCCCAAATCGTTCCCCCCACAATGTATAAGAATGAAATTAGGTACAGGGCCCACCTTTTCAAGAGTTCTTATCTTTTGTCTTGTTTTACTTAACTGGAGGCCACTATAACCCTGCCACCACAGGGAGATGTGCTTTCTTTCTAGTGTCAAATTTGTACCACTTGGTCTTAATACAGCTTCCAAAAAGGCGTGCTTGATTATTGATGAACCCACCAACCATATAGTCTGTGTATCTAAAATTAAATTAGAACTTTGGTATGCGAATGTAGGATTTGTAAGCATCAGATTTCCAACGACCAGATCTCTGAATGTCATTATTTGAATATCCTTTTAACGCGAGATCAGTACTTGCGCCAATACGAAAAGAGTGAGATTTGTAACCCGAGATACCAGGTAAATTCAGGTGCTTTACTGCCTTACACAGTACCCCCGTAAATTGATAACGAGTGAGTGGGGATAAGTCGAAGTGTCGAAATAATGGACCTGATCCCTCTGGACGGATGCTGACGTATTTGGTAATGAGCTGATATGGACATACTACACCTCCCTGCTTATCTATTTGTAGTACTGTGCCTCTACCTAACTGACCCGTTTTCGAGTACTGGATAGTCAGTGAGAGAGATTGTGTTTCGTGATTTATGTTCAAATGGTCAATTTGAATTGTATTTTGTTGATCACCTTTACTTGTATTAACTGTTAATTCGCCCACTCTAAAAAACCCATGAAAGGCCAGGGAGAATGCAGCAGAGAAAAGAGCTGTTTCAAAAGCATTGGTACATATTATGGGCAGAACCTGAATAATATTTATCAAAATTGTTTTCGTTATTGGCAATCTCGTATCTGCTTTATGTTTCAAACGTTTCATACCCTGCAATAACTTCGTAACCAAGAATTCCGGGGTTGGATCGTGAATACTCTGCAATTTACAATAGAATGAAATGGCAGACAAGTATGACCTCACGGTACCATATGCAAGACCGGATGATGATGAATGCAAAACGAATTGCACGACTGAGTTTAATGTAGGAGGCCATGGCGTACAATCAAGGAGCCTACATACTTTGTAATAAGCTGCCATTCCAGCACGATGAGATTTATGTGTGTTTTCAGATACTGAAGCGTCTAAAAGTTTAGCAAACTCAGGCTGGAGATGATGTTGCGGAATGATAGGGGCACTGGGCAAGGATGTGTCCTGGCATGTGGAGCTGCTTGTCGGAATCTGGCCCACTGCTTACGAGAAATTGAGTCAGCTACTACATTGTCTTTACTTGATATGTAAACTGCACGAAACAAGATATTATATTTCATAGAAGCAAGTACCAATGATCTAAGTAGGGTCATGACCCGCTCTGATTTAGAGGTGAGCTTATTTAATATAGCGACTACCGCTTGATTATCTATATGGAGAATTATCTTTTTATTAGCTAGTTTGTTACCCCATAAATAAATAGCCAAGACCACCGGAACTAACTCTAAAAGGGTCATGTTTCTAAGTACTTCATTGGACGCCCAAGTTTCTGGCCAAGGGTAAAAACACCATTCCCCATTGAAATAAGCACCACAACCTAAGTAAGACGAACCAGAACTATCTGTATAAAAATTAATGTTGTTGTCTGACGTCCACTCATTATCTAAAAAATACACAGTCCCATTAAATGACTCAAGAAAACTAATCCACATGTACAAGTCCTGCCGCATTGACTGAGTTATCCTTATGCGATAATGTAATTCTGAAACTCCTATTGTAGCATTATAAAGCCGACGCAGAAATGCCCTACCTGGTCTTATGGCTCTTGTAAAGAAATTCAATTTACCTAAAACAGATAGTATTTGTTGGAGTGTTGTCTTGCGTTGAACGACGAGATGGTGTAAAATACCCAGTAGCTCCACGCATTTTGAATTGGGGATCTTAACTAACATATGATAAGTATCTATCTCAAAACCTAAAAACGTCATAACCATAGTAGGGCCTTCAGATTTGTCCTCGGCAATGGGAACACCTATTTCATCACAGACGCCTTGAAAATTCGACATAAGTTCTTGACAAGAATGGGCATCCCTCCCAGCAAATATAAAATCATCAAGATAGTGATCAATTGTTGATGTTTTAGATCGCTGTATCGTAGCCCACTGCAAAAATGTAGAAAATTCCTCGAAAACCTTACACGAAATGGAACACCCCATAGGTAAACATTTGTCTATGAAATAATTACCCTGAAATTTAAAACCAAGAAGATCAAAATCGCCGGGAAATATTGGGAGAAGTCGAAATGCCGATTTTATGTCCCGCTTACCTATGAAAGCCCCCTTCCCTAATTTAGCAATCATCTGAATTACTGAATCAAAGGATGAATATTGTACAGCAGTCTCACAAGGATCTATGTAAGAATTCACACTACTAAACTTCGGAAAAGAGAGGTGAGTTATTAGACGCCAGCCCGAATTACCCCCCTTAGGCACTAACCCAATTGGAGATAACCTAAGATTAGAAATTGGTATTTGCGTGAAGGGACCCTGTATCCTCCCCACTTCAATTTCTTTGTCGATTTTCTCCTTAAGTTCATTCGGATGTTCATCCGCGGATTTCAAATTATTACATTGAATTGGTAATCTGGGCCCATGATAATGGAGTTTAAACCCTTGAGAGAATCCTTGAATTAGCCGATTTGCTACAATTTTGTTAGGATAGTGGACGAGACATTTTCTGAGGGCGTGTGAATTAATAGGAGTTGAACCTAGACGCCATAGATTGCGGACTGCGGAATCTTGGTCTTGAGTAGGTTTGGCGCTGGGTGTTGCTGTTGGAATACCCCTTATAGTTGGTATTTGCATTGGTGGAATACCCTTTATACATGTAGTTGGTATTTGCATTGGTGGTTTGTGTACGGAAACCTGACTGTCCAAAGAATTGACCATTTGAATTTTGTTGACGAAATGTTTGTGCAGACCCAGTGTTTGGGGCTTGTACACTAGTAATACAATGTATCAGTAGATGGTTACTGCCACAGCGAAGACAGCTGTGCTTATACGTGAATGGAAATTTGTCGCAGGACCCCTTGAAATTGAAATTGTAACATTTACCATTATTTGTTTTGGGTTCATTTGTCACTTATAAGCAGGGCCAGAATGCATGTACATTAACCATAATTCTGAGTCAACTTCGCCCCATGATGATGAAGGATTTTGCTCCTTACGCAGCCTAAACTGAGTATCATATTCTTTCCAAGATATTATAAGCCCCCCTGCTAACACCCATTCTTACGGTCTGTATGTACTTAAGCAGGTCAAGGGTCTTGGCGGGATGTGCACTCAAATACACGCTTCCAACTATGAGCATAAGATCAGTCCATTGCTCTATGTTTTCTACCTTTTTTGAGTTGAGATCTTTAGAAATTATCTCCCCCATACTATTTATAACTAATTTCTTTTCATCAGACCCCGATTTTGGTGTTACCAATGTGGCCAAATCAATATACTGCCCCCCAATAATACGTTGCTTGATTGTGCTAGAAACATTCGTACCAATCATATGTACTGATGGGACAGAAACAGGGGTGGTGCCCACATCTGCTGAAGTTGAAATCAGTGTTCCAGGCGTAGGCAGTGCAAGGGATTGCCCTGAACTTCTTGTCAACATGGGTTGAGCTTCCGCTACAGAAGAATTTGCTGGAGCCTGGGCCGGTGGTATTGGAACTGGACATCCTGCCGACACCGACGACGAGTACGTCTGGGAATTCACTGTAGCCTGACTACCACTTCGTGACTGCTGTGAGACAGTCGCTGATGGTTGAGCCATTCTGCGCTTCTTAGCTCTCGGTGGCATCGTGCACATTGATTGCAAGAAACAGAAAAGAAAATTAATTAATTTTTTATTTATATATTATATATTTTTATTTATTTATTTTATTCTATTTTTTATTTCTTAGAAAAGAAATTGAAATTCATCAACTGTTAATTCTTACATGCTAATCTATTCTTTTATATATATATATATATATATATATATATATATATATATATATATATATATATATATATATATATATATATATATATATATATATATATATATATATATATATATCCCCTTGATATAGAAACGTGTCTGATCAATTTGTAAAACAAAGAAAATTTAATATAAACCAAAGCACTACGATATAAATCCTAACGATCGAGATTAATGACTTAGCAATCCTTATATCGTATCACATACTTACATGATATAATCTGTTTAATGAAAAGTTATTTATTTAGTGGTCGGCAAATTTTATGCAAAATGGCCACAACAGACGCTAGAAAAAATTGGCATGATAAAATCAAGGATCATCGGGTAATCATGAATAAATACACTTAAATTGATTGCAGCAAACAACTACCGAATAGATAACAAAAACATCCATATGTATAATAGCCATTAACTATTTTTCTAAATATCTAATTTTACAAAACATTGTCCTTTAAAATTGCACCAACCTCATCCATTGATTCTTTGATTGAAAAGGGATTAACGGAAGTTGACTCAGGGGGAATAACTCTAATTGATTGTAGGGATTATAGGCGGATCTAAAGCTTGTAGTATATATGGGAAATGCACACTTTCTTCGATAAAAGCCCTTAATTCGAATAGAATTGGATGTGGTAGTATGTTGTTCACAGTGAATTAATTTTAAAGTGTTATTTTTTGATTTTGTTTTGATAGATGGTGAGGTTCAACATTAACATAAAATAGAAATCCCCAGACAATCCAGTAAGAAAATAATTGCGTTGAAATAAGTATGTAAAAAGTATGTAAAAACGTCATTCGGCATTTGACTTATTCGTAGATTGCATTTGCTGAAAAGTCATTGTACTGAGTATAAAACATGCAAAATAATGACTTCTAATGATCCTGTTGAAATTCTCGATCCTTTTTTGTCAATATCTTATCCCGTTTTAGCCATTAGATGAACGAATAACATGCTCTAGTACCCGGGGTATATAGAATAAACTGAGAAATATCAACGCCATACGGAAGCCCATTTATACGGAAGCCCATTTAGGACCTATCAAAAAGTATTTTTGAATTCGTTATATCGATATTTAGAACTCGTTATAACGAATTTAATTTGTTATAACAGATTCATTGAATTCGTTATAACGAATTTAATTCGTTAAAACAGATAAATCTTTATAACGAATTCAAAAATATTTTTTGATAGGTCCTAAATGGGCTTCCGTAACGCCATATGCAGGTGATTGAAAAATGATAAAGGGAAGTAGAATATTGAATTACATTGTAAATCACCACATTTTTCAAAAAACTGTATTGTTATTGCCAAAAACGTCTTTTCTAGCAACTCTTTTTATGCCATTGAATAAAAATTAATTAGATATTTTATAAAGACCCATGTTCTCTAAAATATTATATACATGGAAAAGTTTTAAGCTTCCAGTAGAAAGCTTAAATTGGCAAAGAAAAACCATCTATAATGTAAATACTTTGAAAGAATTTACTTACCTTGTAATTGGTGATTTGCAAAATTGATTGTACACAGAAGTACTCTGAAGTCGACTTAAAAAAGATGCTTGAGTTTTTAATTGACAATATCTATGTTGTTTTTGGTGATCAAGTCCTCCAACCATCTATTGGATATCCAATGGGTAACAATTGCTCCCCGTTATTTACAGACCTATTTTTGTATTCATATGAATCACATGTTTTGCAAAACCTTATGCGTGATGAGAAGAAAACACTTGTTGTGGCCTTCAACTCGACATTTAGATATATCGACGACGTATTGTCAATTGACAATTGTAATTTCCATTCTTATGTCGATACATATATCCTGGTGAGCTTGAGATACCACAGTGTATTAATTACACTTCTGTTTCATATTAGGATATTTTACTTAAAAATGACGTTAATGGTAATCCAAAAACCAAGATCTATGATAAACGTGATGACTTTAACTTTTCTATAGTCAATTTCCCTTATATATGCAGCAATATACCTTCATTACCTGCATACAGAGTTGATGTATCTCAGTTGATTCGATACGCAAGAGCATGTTCTACGTATGAACAATTTCGAAAAAACGAGGTAAATTATTGACGAACAAGCTAGTTGATGAAACACGAAAATCAGGAGTCTCGTTTAAAGTCATAATTTTATAAGTTCAAATACAATTAATCATTTTTACTTGAAAAAGACACTACTGGTAATCTAACAACCAAGCTATATGATAAACGTGATGACTATAACTTTTCTATCGTCAACTTCCCTTACTTATGCAGCAATATACCTTCATCACCTGCATACGGAGTATATATATCTCAGTTGATTCGATACGCAATAGCATGCTCTACGTATGAACAATTTCTGAAACGAGGTAAATTATTGACAAGCAAGTTGACGAAACAAGAATATCAGTAGTCTCGTTTAAAGTCATCATTTCGTAAGTTCTATGGTCGATACAATGACCTTGTCAGCAAATACAGTTTATCATTGAGTCAAATGCTGACTGACGTTTTTCATACCAATTGTTTCGCGGCGCCGCGTCGTACCTAAGACGTATACAAAGGTAGTGACTGTTCCTTCGCCAAGCGCTCGGCACTAGAAGTGAAAGTCACGGGTCTTTCGGATATGACCTTAAAAACGTAGGTCCCGTGTCACGGTAGGCGCTGGCACGATAAAGAACCCTTACTGCTCTATGTCCCTGAGTGCCGAGTATAGGTCAAAATTTGAAGCCATTCACCGACGTCTCCTGATAGAGAACACCAAACACGTAACGAACGAATATCGGTTTAACGAACGGTAAACTTGTTTACATTGTGATAACCTGTGTATCTGACGAAACGTACGTACGAATCACACGTATAGAAAAATTAAAATTATTTGTCAATATGATAAGTATAATCGCTTTGGTGTTCCATGTACCGGTATGATATATATGTATGCATATGTTCAAGTGTGTTTTTATTGATTCATTTGAATTAACTTATAATAAATGATAAAAAATAGCTTTTCTGTAATAGATATTTAGACGTCTAATCAATTGAAAAAAAAATCGCTGTCCTTTCTCATGTTTCTGCTCGCTAGATCTGTAGATTTTTTGCGCATTTGCTTTCCTCCGTGTACCTTCACAACCCCGTCTAAGGGCTCCGAACATCCACAAGTAACATGTAAGGAAGATTCCATCGAACTCTAGCTATACCATTTTTGGACCATCTTCAGAAGTAACTAACTTTTAGAAGTATGCATATCAAATATTTTTAATCAATATAGAAAAATGTTAAAATGTTCATGTTGTATGCAGAAGGAGGGGGCTCACTTTTTCTGAGAATGATCTTTTGCTGCAGTTTTGAAAAATAATTTGTTTTAAAAGCTCACTCCACATCTTTTGTTGCTGGAAAATACGCAGGTTCAAGATTGAAAGTATTGTACCGAACAGAAAAGTGACACCAGCCCCCTCTACCCTCTCCAAATTTTAAAAACAGGCACGTAGCATCGTTTTTGAAAGTAGGGGGGGGGACAACCCGAGAAAATATTTTTTACTTACCTAAAAAAAGTTGACAAGCAAAAAACAAAACAAAACAAAGCAAAACAAAACAAAAAAAAAAAAAAAAGCGGAAAATTAAAAATTGCCCCAAACTCGAAAATCTTTTCAAGGCCAACTTCCTTTCACTTCAAATTTTTTCCTATATTTCCTTGCTATAAATATACTGTGCTAAAAAGTGGGGGGGGGGGGGGCAACCATCTTCTCTATAGACATTTTCTATAGTAAAGGTAATGTTGGGGAAAAAAGTGGGGGGGGGGCAGCCTGTTGCTACGTTCCTGAAAAAGTGGTGTATAGTTTTTTTTATGTTTGTCTGCTTTTTTTTGCTGGTCAAATGCTTTTGGAGCCCCCACCCCCTTTCTTATAAAGGAAGCTACGGACTTGAAGTGGCCATGTGTGATTCTATGCATGAGTGCTGGGTAAACCGACCTGGGACCCCCCCCCTCCTTTTTGTTCAAATATTGCTGGATCCGCCGAATGTTACGGTTGCAGAAACATAGATTATCTGATAAATACAGTTTAACGATTTGTAAACTATGGTTTACAGCTCTTTACTATAGTTCACGATCTGAAAAATATAGTTTCACGATTTGTGAAACTATGATTAACAACTCTTAACTTTAGTTTACGATTGTAAATTATAGCTTACAAACGTGAATCTAAGTTAATCAACAAAATTTATTGTTATTCTTCCAGACAGATAAACTTAGATTAGCATTCGTAAACTATAGTTAACAACTGTTAAATATAGTTTTACAGATGAAAACTATAGTTGACCAATTGTTAACTATAGTTTACGCTTTTTAAACTATAGTTTACAGTTGATAAATCTAGTTTATCAAATGTGAAACTATGTTTAGCTCATTTTTGTGAATTTGGCCATACTTATAGGTTGTAACAATTATCAATATATACGACGCTTTGCAAGAACTGAGAACAATTTAACAATAGATGCAAGTTCCCATCTAGGGTGTCGATATAAGGAACCCGACATAAATGTAATAACCCGATATTGGTCGTTCATATCTAAATAAGTTAAGAAATATGTACTAGCAGTTAAACTGTCTAAATATCTATTCCGCGACGGATCCAGGTATTTCAAAACATGGGGGCGCAGTAGAAGACTTGGAAGTCTTGGGGCTGCATTAAAGCCCCCAGTGGGTCCAGGACAAAGCCCTGGTGGAGATCCAGGGGCGCGATCCAGGGGCGAAGCCCCCGGAAACTGAGGAACTCTATAACAAATTAGAGGTGTTTTCCTGTTGATTTGAAGATAATACAAATAAAATTC